TCAATAAATCTACTGCTTGCTCTGCTTATTCTGTGGCCTGGGAATTCTTTCCTGCGGGGTAACCCAGAGCCCATTCTCCAGCAGCAGTCAGGCTGGAGGCGGTGAAGGCCGAGCACGGTGAGCAGATGTGGCTCACAGAGCCTCCCTTTAGGGGTGCCCAGCTCAGGGATATCACTTACTCTACTCCCTTTATCGATGTTTTTCCTCCTCCTGTGGTGCTATTTCAGTATTTTCTGCACCTCTAATTTTAAAACCGTGGGGTGAAGGATGATTTCTTGGTTGTGTGATTTTTTTTTTTTCCTGTGTAGCGGTCTAATTTTGTGCTTTGATTTTTATTTTTGTTATTTGGGGTTTTTTTTTTGGGTGAATTTTTGCCTGCTTAGTCATTGTCTTTTTATCTCTTAGTTCTCTTTGTCCTTTCCTTCATTTTTTTTTCTTTTTCTTCTGCCTCTGCTCCCTTCTTCCCATAAGCCCTTAAATCTTTATGTGCTGCTTTTTTTTAAGTTGTATTTTCTCCTCTTCCTTCTGCTTAGAAATGGTTGTTCTTTCTAAGACATGGATGGGAAGGGAACCATGGAAACAGCCATATACAGGCCCACAATAAGCTGAACCCAGGCACCCATCCACCCCAGCTGTTTTGAGAACATGATGCTGTTCCTAATATGTTTATTTTGCCAAAATCTTATGAATGAATGAAAGAAAATTGGACTTGGTCCGGTTCTCATCCTGCCTCTGGTCACTGTAGGGTCCCTTGGCACATTAAATGCCCTCTTTAGTCTCAAGGTTCCTGACTGTAAAATGATGGTGGGACTCCAGTAGTCTTTTCATACCTTGGAATCTCAATATAAGAGACATGACTGCCTGGGAAATGGCTGTAGAATAGGGTCCCGATGTTGCCTTCCTAAGTGGGCCACTGCCATTCCCTTCTGCTCCTCTGCCTTGAAGCAGCGCCTTCAGGTTCTGTGGAGCATCAAGTCTTTTAATAGAACTTAGCAGGGGAAGGCAAGTAGTTACAGAGGTGTTAGAACCATTAGAAGCAAACGGGGCTGGGGAGGTATCCCAGAGATTAGCAGCAGCAGGAACCTTCAACCGGCCCAGAGAGTGGGAGAAGGTATGGTGTTATCAGGCCAGGGCCAGCTGGTGGGTGTAGGAGGCTTGGTGAGGGAGGTAGTGGGACTGGAATGATGGAAGAAAGGGCTGTCTGGAGGGACCTGGAGCTGCAGAGGAGAGGCAACCACTGCCGGAGTTGTTGCCCAACTCAGAAAGAGGAAGACAAAGCCCGCGGTCTTCCTACCACAGTCCAGTCTCTGGACAGAGTCTCTAGTTTGGGCAGAAACTGGTTGACAAAGAGCGTGGGGAGTTCTGAAGGCATGCAGGCAGAAGCGATTAGAAGGCAAGGACCGCATCAGATGATCTTTAAACTTCTTCCATTACTCACATTCCAGAATTCATAGGTTTCCTGAGAGATTCCTGCAGTGAAGAGATTAATCTAGGCCTTTAACAGGTAGCTGTCTTCCTAGGAGTTGAAATAAACTACTTCTACCATTCTAGTGTCTTAGGACAGCACCCACTCACACCTCCACCTTCCTCCCTCTCAAAGTTGGAAGCAGTCACATTTTTCCTTACAAGTGCTGTGCCAGCGTTTCTGAGAGTTCTATTCCTGGTAGACTTCTGGCCTTTTGAACAGGAATGTGATCTTATTCATCCCGGTCTCAGTCTTTATCACCAAGGGCCTCTGGGAATGTGGGGCTAGAATACAGATGCAGTGAACCAGCAGAATTACACAGCCAGTCAATACTGTTGATCAGAGAAGCTTTGCAGTTTGGCAGCCTCCTGTGATCTTGAGCCAGTGACTTACCCTTCAGCCTGGGCTTCCTAATATATAAGATGGTTTTATTAGTTAGGACAGACTAGGTGCTAATGATAGGTTAGGTTCTGCAACAGTAACAAATAATCCCCAGAATCTCAGTGGCTAACAATTCACAAAAGTTGATTTTTCATTACACAAGCATTGCCAGTTTCCTGGGTGTGTTGGTCTTCACTCTGGCCTCTGGTTCATAGATCAGCTGCCATCTTGAATACTGCCATTCGCAGGTCAAGAGAGAGAGAACTTGGGTGGGTGGGACAGTTGGCCCAGAGGTGTCACACACTATATGTACTCACAGCTTATCAGCCAGAACTAGTCACATGGCCTCTTCTAATTTCAGCTAAGGCCAGGAACGCCTGGGAGAAGGGAGGTTAGCAGTATTTGTTGGTTTGCATTAATGACAGCTATTGAGAAAGATAATAATACTTAACTTTTCATGATTGTTTTGACCCTTAGATACATGAGTGCTTAGTACAATGCCTAACACATGGTAAGTGCTCAACCAGTAGTAGACGGAACTATTATTATTGTTACTGTTATTGTTCAGCAGTTTATTACATTTTCAGCATACTTTACACTATCCATTTGCTTAGCAAATGTCTCCTCTCCTTTTTTCTCCCATCTGAACGTGCAAAAGTAGACTTAAGTTGTTCCTCTCTAGATCTATCACAAATTCTTAATAAATGAAGTTGAGTTAATGAAGTTTTAGACCCAGTCAGGGACTGTATTCTTCCAAGTTTAGGGTTGACAAACATAGGTGATAATTCTGTAAGGTGGTCTCTTTATGGAGTGATAGCTTGGAATCAGCAGTGGCTTTGGAACTATGTTCACTGTGTTAGTTTTTCATTTAAGAGCAACCGATTTTAAGCAGGCTTTCATTTGAGTCAATGCAAAAGCCGTCAATACGTATTATATGTCTGTGAAGCTGGTTTCTGGATCAATTGCAATTAGTCTGCAGCAAATTGCATTAACATATCTAAAATTAATACAGTGAGTGTTCTGATGAAAAGGAATTGACCGTGACCACACTGTGGCTGTTTTTGATCTCTCTCAAGTGTTCTTTTCAACCTGTTTTTTTTCTTCTTCTTTTGTTAATTGCTTTAAATTGGTATGTCAACATAGACTTAATCTATGGATTCTTCCCCATATTCCTTTTAAAAGTGGTCCTAGGATGTGGCGTATATCTAATGTTTAATCTTATCTTTTTTTAAGAGGCTTTCACTAAATGCTTAAAACTTGAATATTTCTTGGTATGTTATGTGACATGCCATTAAGACTATTGAGAAAATTAATATGTTCATTTTTGAAATTTTGTGTTTTAAATTGTGAATGTTTCATCAAGACTTAAAGATTCAGAAGATTAACAAATCATATACAGTTACATAATACACAGTAAATGATGTGAACCTTATTTCCCTGGCAATTTATTTTTATCCCAGCATATATATTTCTAAAGAAGAAGTGCAGGCAACTTCAGTATTAAAACCATCATTACCAATTTTTATAAGGACAGAACAGAGATATTTATAGGTTTAATCATATTGAAATTTGAATTTCTTACCAGTGTGTGTAAATTACATCATGCTTATTTTAGGTCTAAAGGGCTTTTACTTTTCTGTGTTTAGAAAAGGTCAGTTTCTGGTAATGAAAAATTATCTGAATCAGAAGACAAGAACAAAAGACAAGGGTTATTCACTTGGACACCTCGCTGGTATTTTTTGAGTATCTTCAATATGCCAAGCACCATCACATTATTCATAAAGATAAAAAGAAGTTGAAGATACATTCTGGCCTTGAGTAGAACCCCCTCTAGTTCCAAGGTGCTGGAGCCTCTTTGAAATGCCCCTTGTCCCAAAGAGCTCCATGGGTGCTTTGTAGCTTGGAGATTCCAGAAGAAAATGCCATTTTAAGGACACATTTGGGGTCCTGAAAGCTAATAAGTCTCTGTGGGAAAGCCCTGTGGACCTCAGTTGCTGGTCTGTGTGATAACTGCCTTGGACATCCCCCAGGGCCCTTGACAGAAATCAAGGATGTGTGACGGGTGATCTTCCACCACCAGTCATGTGATCCAGTTGTGTGCCTGATGTTTTGATTTGTTAGTGTGTTCATGGCATTGCCACCCTGCCTCTCTCCTGTGAATAGTGGTTCCTTTGCATCATGACTCATGGATGGAAATGAGCTTCAACTTAGGGTATTTATTTTCTCCTGCTTGTTTTCTTCTTTTAAACATTGGGCTTATGGATTTGATAGGGAATGCTGCTGATCTTATTGTATAAAATGAGAAGAATTTATTTGTTCATGTCATTCTGCCCTTTGATCATTTTCATTCAGCACAGATGCAAACTAAGGGATAGTGCCTATGGGGAAACCACTCCTACATGATGCTTAAGCAAGTTTACTTTAATACACAAATTTCAGTTTTTAGGAACTAGTTTAATTAATAGTGACTCAGGTTTCTGCACTCAACTCTGGTGTGATAATCTCATTAAATACATAATGATTATACCTAGACTCCATTAAAAACTACAGGAAAGAAATAGATTGGTCTGTGGCTCAATTGACGTCAGATTTCCTGAGATACCTTACAGTGATTAACGATGTGCATACAGGTATTGAAATAATGCTGTGAGCTTTATTTATTTGGGGTGGGGGTTTGGGAGGCATACACTATATAATAGAGTCCTTAACATTTTTAAAAATAACTTTACTTTAAAGTACTTATAGACTCAACAGGGAGCTGTAAAAATAGTGCAAGAGTCCCCTGTCCCTTCACTCAGCTTCCCCTAATGTTGATACCTTACATAGTTTTGGTATCGTATCAAAACCAGGAAACCAACATTGGTGTGTTACTGTTAACGAAATGACAGATCTTACTGAGTTTTCATAGCTTTTTAAAAAATTTGCATTTATTTGTGTGTGTGTGTGTGTATGTGTGTGTGTGTGTGTAGTTCTTAACATTTTGATTCAAAAAACGATTCAGCCTGAAGAATGAATATACTTTGTTTTCTTTTGTTTTTCTAAAATCTGTGTTGCTGATGGTCATTTGAGGGTACCTGTAAGGCTGGCCATATAGGTTGACTGGTATTTCTCTTGTTATTAATAAGTGTTCTTACCTCTCCTCCAATTTCTCTAGCCAGTGCAATTAACCTCCAGACGATGGCTGAACCTGCAAGAATACCAGAGCAAGAAACTGATGTCTGACAACGGAGTGAAAGTTCAAAGATTCTTTGTGGCAGACACTGCGAATGAAGCTCTGGAGGCCGCTAAGAGACTAAGTAAGCTAATTCATACCAGGTGAAATACGCAGGCCCAAATTAGGGAATTCACAGGTAGCTGTTTCCCACTAGTTACTAAATGGCTTTGTTGCAGGTTCTACTAACAGTGACAGACACAGCGGAGAACTTTGAGCTGCAAAAGCAAAAAAGCCCAATTAGGAAAACTTGATTTTCTTACATGAGAAAGCATCATATGGGATGTCACTCTATGGTAATTTTTTCTGAGTTTTTCAGTTCAGTTCAATCCATTTTACCCAGTTCTCTTATCTGTGGTTTAGTGGCTGCAAGAAGACTGAAGAGTATGGAGTGTCAAAGAGAAGCCATCGCAGGGTAAATCAGGAAGGATAGTTGGCATTCTTTTTAAATTACGACTCTTAGAACATGGGAAAGTTCCCTGAGTGACTGGTGGAGAGAAAGGGGAAGTCAGGCTGACTTTGGTTCAGTGTTTTGCCCTGCCATTTACCAACTCCGTGGCTTTTGCAGGAGTGCCTTTTCCTTCCTGTGCCTCAGTTTTCTTACCTGTTAATCAAGGCTGACGTGTTTATCTTTCAATGCTGTTGTGAGTTTTGAGGGAGACTATGTTGGGATGTGGTAGAAAATCTAGCCAATTTCCCTATTTATAGATTATGAGATTAGGAATCTGATTCTGCTGTCTGTTTTTCAGTGGACTTTCCTTCTGGTGGCATATGTACTCTCTTATTGTTGGTCAGGATCAGACTGTACAATAGAAGTATAATGTGAGCCACGTAAATGTTTTTAAGTTTTCTAAGTCACCTTAAGAAAACTTGAAAGAAATGGGTCAAATTAAGTTTAATACTGTATTGTTTACCCCAGTATATTCAAAATGTGATTATTTCAACGTGTAATTAATATAAAACAATTATCAACACGATGTTTTGCTTTCTCTTTTTCTTTTGTCCTCATCTTCACAAATCTGGTCTGTATTTTATACCCCCAGCACATCTCATGTCATGTGCTCGATAGATGCTGGTGGCTGGTGGCTTTCATATTCGACAGCTCAGATCTGGACACTGGAAGGCTTTGCATGTGCATTCGTTGCCCATAACCTTGGAGAGCAGTCATTTCCCATTGAAAATAAAAACTAGAGCATCTGTTAACTGGCCTTGCCCACACAGCGCAGCCAGGTTTGAGAGTGCAAGACAGAAACAGGCTCCATATTTGCATTTTCCAATTTCCTATGCTCTTTTAAGAGTAAGCAGTGAGGGGCTTCAGCTAGCAATTGGTCTTCTTTTACCTCCCTTTCAAAGTTCCTTCAGATGCTTACATGCCAGATCTTTTCTATGTTATGTCAGTTGAAATGTATATTTATTCTTTCCTTTAATAAATATTTATTGATTATTGACCATGTATTCGGCACCATGGATACAGCAGTGGGAAATAAGCCCTCTTTCTTCTTAGAACTTAAATTATAAAGAAATAAGTTGGTACTTTTCAGATGTTAAATTTAGAAATTGAGAGCAACTGATATTTTAAGAAATGAGCATTGGTGTCATTTTCAAAAACTATCAAAATTGTTTTTTATGGCGAAAAAAACCAGTAAAATTAGCCCTAAACTTGGATGAGTGCTCCTCAGTAAATCTGGTAATAGACTCAGTAAAGGTTAGTATTTCAACCTTTTTACATGAAATGATCACTTTTGTTTTATACTCCTGTGGTTTGGGGGTTGGGTAATGAGAGCAAAGAAATGTAAAGTTCATGTTGGTCTTCATTTCCTCCATTATTTTCTTAAATGTGCTGACATACTAGTATTCCAGGTCTGAGGGTCCTTCTTCAGGGAATTCTGGAAGCCAGCTGATTACCCTCCCTTAAGCACTGCACAGCTGAAGGGACTTACTTTTCAGATTTTCATGGAGATTTGGCTTACTGAACTAATTGGCTTCTTAGTCATGGATTTGTTTTGTAAGCATTTATTTAGCCACCACTTTGTGGTTGGGGATTGCACACTGGTTTTAAGACACAGTTTTTGCTTTGGAGAAATTAGCATGATGGCATTTATATGCTGGGACCATTAGTTACAGGGTGAAGGGAGGGGAAGAGACAGACAATGAAGCAAGCTTAAATAAAAATTTAACAAAAGGGGATGAAGGAGAGGGGAAGGGATGAGACAATACAAATTGGTAATTGCAATATGGCCTCAGGGATAGAAAAAGACAGTCCAAGGAATACAATCAATAATGTTGTAAGCATTTCTTAGGGGGCCAGATGGACCAATGTCCTTTTGGGGAGTCCACTTCATAGTTGATGTAGAGGCCTGACCACCGCATTGTATTTCTGAAACTGATGTTGAATAATACTGTATGTCAACTATAATTATATATACATATAACCTCGGGACATGGAGTAGAGTGCGGGAACAGATTCAATGGAATTGTAATAGATAAGCATGATATCTGGGGTGGGAGGGCAGTGGATGGGGGGAGGGGGGTTGTTACTTTGTGAGGGTGAAAAGGGTAACTATTGCATTGTTCTGTACACCTGAAACTAACAATAAAAAAAAAAATTAACAAAATGAAAGTAAACTTTTAAAAAAGCCATTTTGGTTTTTGAGGAGCATTTTCAAAGAAAACTCAAACTGGATAAAGGGGTTGGAAATAACCTTGCCTGTGTGCCACACCCCTGTGAAACTCCTTTACTTTAGTCTGCGTGGCCAGGGGTGGGCCCCTCTGTGATACTGCTTAGAGCTAAAAGGGAATTGAGAAAATGAGTCCAGGCACCTCTTTGGTGAGTGAGTGAGTAATCTGTCTCTTATTCAGTGAGCAGCTTTGGTAGACGGAAAGTCTTCTCTGATTTTGATCAGAGGGGAGATTTATCGTGTTGGAAGAAGAGATGGTACCATTGCTAACTGGGTGAAAATCAACCGAGTTAATAGTGAATATAAAAGGAAGTGTGCATGTCACTGAGATTGCCTGAAGAAAGCGAAACAGGAAGAATCTGGCAAAACTTCATAGTGTTTACATTCTTGTCACTACAAGATTGACAAGAACCAAGAGCGCAATTGGAGTTTGACCGAATAGATTAGAGGTAAAGGTTAAAACTGAATCACACATGAATCTTTCTGATTGTCCTGAAAATGGGACCACGACCTTATGATATTTTAATGGGAAAAATGATATGGAAGGATAATATGCCTAACAAAAAGTAAGTCCTATATGAGATTTTTTTTGCTCTCATTATTCTCATTATCAGCATATAATTTCAGGGGCCTCACTGCTGTCATGATTCAAATTCATAGACAAATCCAAGACATGTGATAATCAGTATTCTATCAGTCATGTGTTATGAGAGTTCATATTTTAATTTAAAAAGTTTGTAAATGATTGATATGCATTTGCTCACATTTCTACTTTTTTCATATGTGGATGTGTTTTAAAATAAAATGATATTTTATAAAATAAATTATAAAATAAAATATTTTGAAAACCAATGTTGATTTAGACATCAACAGGGCCTGGGCTGAGTCAGTTGTGTGCAGGCTGACGTATGGACCCTGACCCTGGACGAGGTTTGGGGCATCCAGATGGGTGCAGGCTGCCACACAGACCTGGCCCCACATATAACAAACCTTGACTCTGGAGCCTGTTGCGTAGGCACTGGGCTCTGGTGATGTAAAACCCTTACGTAAGCATGATTCACAGCTGCGGGAGGAAGTATGCCACTTCCCTGCGCTCTCCTCCCCCAAAACCTCTATATAATGGTTGCTATTGCTGAATAAAGCAGGCTGGCTAGCTGGTTCCTCCTCATGTTGGCTCTGCGTGCTTTCTTTTCCCTGGGCATCTCACCGCCATAAGCAGACCAGCAGCCCCCCGGCGACGACAGACATGCATTTGATTTCCAGGAATCTCTGTGTGTATGATCTTACTAATCTCTGTGTCATAACCACATTCCTTGTTGTCTCTTGGCCATCCATTTATGGGAGTCTCATCTCTCCTGGCCCAAATGGAACTTGTCATCTCTTGGTTGCTCTAAACCTTCCCTTCCTTTTATATCCCTCTACGTACCGAGCTGAGATACCTCCAGATCATTTCTAATGCCTCTCGTGTCTAACATATTCAATCACTTGTCAAATACTGCCATTTTTACTGCAGCACTGTTATTTTGCAAAGCAAAGAAACAGGCAAGATAAGGTTAAAAACTTGCCAAGGTTGTACAGCTAATAATTGACAAAGATGGGATTTCTACCCAGCCAGATTAGATTTAATCTCCTCCCCAAGCATTTATCCTCTTTGCTAACTTGATGATAATATTCTTGGGAGATTTTTATGTGTGAGTCAGCATTTTTAAGATGGAAAATACATATTAATAAAATCAGAAGATTAAATTAAACTGGATGTAGCAGGTTCTAAGGCGCAATTTATAGAAACTGTGTAATCTGCAGATATTTTCATAATGATTCGTTTTGTTGTATCTCTTTGGACAATAGAACATTTTGCCAGATAGTTATGGAAAGCTTGTTAATTTGAACATTTGTTTTAAATGGGTAATGTAAACCTTTTTTTTCTGAAACACAATTCATAATGATAAGATATTGAGTGAGAGCCTTATTTTCTTGCACAGAAAATGGACTTATGTCTGATTGAGAGAGTAAATTTGGTTTGGTGAATTAAGTTTTTAATATGTAGATAATATTCATTTCTGTAGCAGTTTATATGAGCTACCTTTTCTAATCATGCTTTAAAGAAGGAAGGAATTGTTGTTTTTATTGCCTACAGTTTTCTGAGGAGGTTTGTTAGCTACTTATGTTTCACCTCTATAGACTAAATTTTACGTATACATTCAACAGATAATTACAGAATACCCACTGTGTGCATGTCTAATATTGATGTTGCCTTTCAATTGTCTTTAAAGATGAAAGGACTCTGTCCCTTACATAACTCAAAATGCCTATCTTAGTATTTGCGTATAAGCACAGATGAAACTTCATCAGGACCACCACTTTTTAGTTTGTGGAATTGCTACAATTTATTAATTATTCCACTCAT